AAACAAAATCTTACAGTCCAGTAAGTGAAAAGTCGAGTGTTATTGTCTCCATACAAATCAGGGCTGACCTGTGTATTTTCCAAGAGAGGAACCAAGAAAAAATTAGCCCTGATTCTTGAAACGTTTCCTTAAAATTTCTCAGAAAAGGAAAAAATAGAGAATTTATGAACATTAATTAAGACCTGCCAGCCAGCTTCAATGCTATTGAGATCTTCCCCAAAAGTTCCTCCAAGAATCCAGATCTGAGAGAGGCTAAATTCGTTTGTCTGTTGGATTTTTGGGGACCAAACGTTTATAGTTGCCTTAGCTCCATAGTATTTTCCTCCTTCAACGTATATAATTGCATGCTAACAACTCCAAAAGCAAAAGCAAACCAGAAAAAATAAAAATAAATCCACATTTGAGAAAATTTTGAAACAAATTTCAGAGAATGAATGCCCTTTTGGGAATTTTGAAACATGCTCTGTTTCTAGAAGTACCTGATGTCCAGTTTGGCCATTGAGATCAATATCAATGGATGTGGGTTTCACAGTGGCCTGAGGCTTCTTCTTGCCATAGCTTTTTATGGAGCTTGCTCTTAAAATGTCAGCTTTTTTTGTTCTTCTAATGGGAATTGTTCCTTCTGGGCATCTTCCTTTCAAGTGCCATAATTGAGTAATGGGCTTTGATTCTGAAGGGTTTGAAGACACCTTGTTGTCTTTGAAAATCCCTTCTGGGTGAAAATTTGGCCTCATCTGCAGAAACCCACTTGCAAAATCAGAGGAGAAAAAGACCCAAAATCGAAAATATGAAGAAAGTTTAGAGAAATTACCTGAATTGTGTGGTTTCTGAGCAGAGGATGATCAAAAGCTGGCTGATGAGCCATATGAACACAGTCGATTATATCTCCATCTGGGCTCTGTTTAAAACCCATTTTTAAGCAAAAAGGGATAAAAAAAAAACGAAATTTTTGAAAGAAGAATTGAGAAAATTGACGACCTTGATGGATTTAACAGGTGGTTTATTGAGTTTCTTGAGGTGGGTGTGAGCCTCCAGCCTCCAGTGGCGGAGGCGGCTGGTTTTTGCGGCGGCCGGCGGCGCCAGTGACAGAGAAATGAGGAATAACGTTAAGAGGAGGTTTAGAGGAGTGGTGATTTTAGTGGTCGGAGCCGCCATGGAAGGACAGCTTGAGTGAATCTGAATGGAAAAAGTAGGCCAACTTTTTGAAATGAAAAGCAAAACTGGGTTCTTGAGATTGTGTAATGGGGTAGTATTAGTAGCAGTGGTAGTGCGTAATTTTCTTGGTTGACTAAAGATTTAAGCTGGCAAACCAGAACAAGTGTTTTTAGCAGAGAGAGAGAGAGAGACAGAGAGGAGAGAGATTGATATTCTAAGAGTTGTGGGCATGGAGAAATTATTTGTGAGGTGAGAATGATGTGGCACAAAATTTTATACTATTTATTTGATACCCGAGAGAAAATTTAAAAATTATATGCGATTGACATGTACAAGTTTGATTTTCATATCTATAAAATGTTGTATTAAAAAAACATTAAAAATTATATTTTAAATTCATATCTAATAAAGTTTAAAATAACGGATATGAAATTATTCATGTTAAACATAAAATTTATGTGACTTTACCTGTAATTTCATGAAAAAGTTTTTTTGTAGTCGATTATTGGAAGATGCATCCAATAGTTGTTAAAAGATGGTTACATTAAGAGTCAAACAAGAATGAGATGAGCCAAACGAGTAATTGACATATAGCTCCAATCATGAGGTTGTGAGTTGGATCCCTGCCCTTATATGTTGTACTAAAAAAGAAGAAGAAAGAATGAGAGGATAATAGCCCGGCTTAATTCATCCTTGATAATAAACCCATATACAAAAGTTAAATATTTTAAAGTTTTTTTCCTTTTAACTTGCTTTCTATTTTTTTTCATATATAGTGATCAAACTCACAATTTCTTTTTGAAAATGTATGTCAATTACTGTTTATTCTAATTACTTTCTAAATATTTTAATTAAAATATTATATATATATATAGTTATTAAATAAGATAACCTGATCATAATTAAATGGATAAATATAATGTATTGTATTAAAGAAAAAAGAAAAATTACAATAAGGTTGTCGTTGGTCGTGGGGCTGTGCTGCCACAGCCCTACCACTCTCTAGTCTGTACAAGAGAAGAGAAGGGCAGTGTGCTTTTAATTAATTTAAAATTATTAATTACGCCATTGCCCTTGCCCTTCCCCAGCTGAGGTAGGCTACAGTCCAACAGAAACTGCCAACCCCTTTCCTTTGTCCCCAGTTGCAGAAGCAAGGGCATTATGGGCAGTATCTAATTAAAAAGAAATAAAAAAACAAACATGGTGGAGGAGAAAGAAGAGATAAACAAAAAAAAGTTTAGTGGGATTTTAGCCAAACCCACTCTCTCAGGATTTGATTGGAGTTGTTTTTCTTTTATAAACCACATTCAAACTCACGATTTATTAATCAAAGATAAACGTGTCTTAATAAATTAAGTTATGTTCAGATAATTAATAATCCGTACGAATTGAAATTGAAATTAATATGTTAGTTAAGCTATAGTTGTTTATATACTATTCTTCTTTCCGGCTATATTGACCTTTTTTTTATACAACTAATATTAATATGGTTGGAAACTAAATGCTTAAAAACCCTAGTTTATTATTATTATAAAGTATATACATTAATCTACCATGCAAAAACTCTCTTTAATTTCTTTTTCTTTTGATATGGAATACTTCTATGTCTTAATTAATTCTTGTTGATAATTTTAATGAGTGATAGATTTGAGCACATCAAGAGAAGAATAAGTGAAAGATTAGTGCATGATTTAGGTTAGAGGAGTTACACTTTACATTATTTTTTTTCTCTTCTTTTTCTATGAGTTTAGCTTTGAGATGGATAAATTATAGTTGTCTTAATTATAAAGCTACGTTCGAATTTAGCATACGATAGATGATTAAGAATCAAAAAATGACAAAGTGTGTGGGTGGTTTTTTTTAGATATTAAATCATAACTACATAATGGAATCCAAATTACAAAACCTCTCGAAAAGGTAGAAGTACACTTTAATTATTGAGATATGTTCGGGTTCGCTACGTTTGATTTGTGAGGAGGGGAAAATTGAAGTGATTTTTTAGGGGGTTTCTATGTTGTGTATTTCATTTGGCATTTACTCGACAAACTCATTTAGTGCTACTTGTCTTCTAGCCTCCTTTCTTTCAAACAATCCTCTCTCTCACTTTCGTACCCTCCCTCTCTAGGGAGCTCTCTCAAATGTGTGTGGACCAAATGTCTCCTACTCTCGAATGTCTTTAACTCTAATCCTAATTCTATCAATATGCTTAGTTTTTTTAATCTGTTTTCATAAATAATAGTGATCGAATAAGCTTACACTATTATCGATATTAAAATTATTATTCACAAACTCATGAGTTATAACTTTTTTTTTCCTTTTAACATTTATTTTCTTCGTCAAGTCCCACGTTGTCAATGAATCTTAATTCTCGCCAATCTAATAGATAGCTTAATTGTTGACTAATATTTATTTTTGATTTTGATCTTATTTAATATTAAGATACATATGGCTTAGAAGAAAACAAAGATGATCACAAGGGCATGCACTATATATGGTTAAAGTGGAGAATTGTATTTATTATTAAAAAAACATAATATATATATATATTGATGGAATATAATTGACTTGAGAGAAACAAAGAAAAATCAAACAACCAATGAGAAGACGACACGACATCATGGATGAATGTTGTTGGAAGATTGGAAATTAAAGTAGGTCCTTTAAAAAAATAATTATAATTAATAATAAAGTGGGTAATGCTGTCTAAATCCAACTTTTAGAGCCACTAATACGTTGTTTAGATTAGAACAACAAAATTAGAGGAGAGTTTAATTAATATACAGTGGACATTGTTTGGCAGATGATTTAATTTAATTAAAGTCACATATTCTCTGAAAAAGAGGCATTTTCATTGGTCTGTGATTTATAAAGAAAAAAGAAATGCATCTTTCAAAACTTTAAAAGATTGAAAATAAAAGTCATTATTCACATGAAGCTAAAGATCACCATCTTTCTTCAACTTATTGTTAACCCTAATTATTCTCTCTCTCTCTCTCTCTCCATCTTTTCATTTGATTAATGTCAATGATAAATCTAGTTAAGAAGTGAAGAAGGAATTGGCCTAATATTAAAATTGTATAAAGTATAGGTACAAATTTAAGAGGAGAGATTTCTGTTGTTAATATTATTCAAATGCATTGGCATTGATCGGGACAACATAAATTTGTGAATTATGACTTCAAATGATCGATCTCTTTTTCTTTTAACTATGAGACTTTAGATTTTCTATTATAATACACTATTTATTGATATCAATTTAGTCTTTTTCTACCTAAAAATTAGTTCAACTCACACTCATGAATCAACATTTTAATTTAGGACTCGGTATTTTTCAACTATTGGATAGTTCAAAAGGCAAGGATTGAACAATAATTTTTTTTAATAATTTTTTGTATTAATTTTTTTTAGAATATTAATTCACAACTAGAAGGAGTTATGAATTCGAACTTACAACTTATTAAATGAGTATCTCAATCACCATTGAAGTATGTTCAAATTGGCCTGTTATATAAATTTGAAAAAAAAAATTAAGAAAATGTATCAGAAAGTGCAATTAGAGAGAATAGTTTCTTTAATTTGACATAATCATAGGTTAAAGTTGAGATATAATATCTCATAATTCAATGGACTTCACTAACTATGCTAATCGTATTCCTTTATTTTGATGATTTGACCTTTCTCAAAAAAAGGGTATTAGATTGTTATATGATATCAATCTTATCTTTCATATGTCTATTTTATATTTTAGGTTCATCATTATTATTTTTCCATTGCATAATTATCCAAAATAAAACTTAGAACTTGTTAAGAAAAATATTTTCAGAGTAATTTTTAATAATCATCATCAAATATAATGGCACTTAAAATCCCTATTCATGAGTTATAAAATAAAGAATATAAATTTATTTATTCCATTAAAAAATAACTCAAAAAAAAAAAAAAACTAGCTGATCCCATAANCTTTGTTTTTAATAAAAAAAAATGCATGCCTCAAACCCATGAATTTATATCCAACAATATTTATACTTATACTTCTGTTTGGTAATAAATTGAAAACAGAAACAAGAAACAAAAAAAAATTTGTTTTAATTGTTTCCAAAAGTTTTATAAATTTTCAAGAATGTTTACGAGAAACAAAAAACATAATTAATTGCAAAATGCTTAAGTTTCTTAATAAAATTTGAAAGCAACCAACAATAACGGTAACATTACCAAACGGGCCCTTAACAATCTCATAACCAGAGATGGGTGGAATTATAATACCAACAATCCAACCCCATGACCTAAACAGTTGAAAATAATAAAATTTTGGTTTATTATAATAAATCCGAAGATAAATGAAAAAGGGTTGTGACAAATAATTAATTATTGTCCGATTATGGACCTCAATAAGATTAGTTGGGGGAACACTAGTGATCCGTGACAAGATTCCCATCAAACCTTTACCTCTAATCATTCATAGAGAGAGAGAAAGATATAAAAAAAAAAACAAATATTTATTAATTTTGAATTTTGCATGTAGAGATTGAGAAAGTTAATTCTCTTTGTGTGTGTGAGTGTCAAGAATTGCTGTTGAATCACATGCAACAAAGGTAGAGTTCCTCTCATGGGGTAAAATCCAAAGGAAGAAAATGAAGGGAAAAAAAGTGATAATTTTGAATTAATATGCATCATACATACATACATCTATATTTAATTCAATTCATATTTGGTACATTCACATGCCGAAACTTTTATTTTTGTTATTATTATTATTATACTTTGGAATTGCCTCATCAAACAAAACCAACCCCATCTCTCCCATTCCTCTCTTTTGGGTCAATATCATCCCCTTTTAACAAACTCAATTCCCAACCTCATCGAGACGTTTCTCTTAATGGTAAGGCTGAAAATCTCTTTACAAAGTTTATCTCGTACGAGATTCAAATGATTTAAAGTTGTCATATTTTTCATTTTAAGAATAAATAAATAAATATAGAGAGAGTTTTTATGCCTACACACTCATTAGTGTAAAAATCTCTTGCTGATTTTTTGATGATCATGTGGTGCATTTTTAATTTATAATTTAGTTGACTAAAATTTTAGATTTCCTACCATACAAAATACATATGAAATTCAATGGTAAATATTAAAAATATATTTTAATGTGAATTTCTTAGACAAAAGCAAAATATATTTAATCAACTATAGTCCGGGTGAAACAAATATAAAAGTTGATGGATAAAAAATAGAATTTAAAATCTTTATTTATATATATAAATTGGCAAATTATAAATTATATATGTATTATTATTATATATAATTATAATTTATAAATTATTATAAATTATAATTTGTCAAAATATATATATATATATATATATATTGACAAATTATAAATTGATGATAATGATAGCTAAAATCCATTTATTAAGGGAAAAAAAGGGAAAAGGGAGATGAAGAAGTAAACTCAGAATTCTTTGATTGAAAGGGGAAAAAAGTGATAAAATGGTAATAAAGGCAAAATTGTGTCGAAATTTTCTTGTAATTATACACTTAAATTGCATTCTTGGTCTAGCCATAATTACACCAAAATCGTTTGCTACGTGGACATTTATAATGTTGTTGCTAGATTCTGGATGAACTGACATGAACGGTGAAGTATGGTTGAACCCTAACGCCAACGTGGTGGCAAAACAAAGTAGTCAGCTAGAAGTTGGGTGCATGGTATTGCATACTTTTAATTAAGGTTTGACCCTCTTTATATGAGAAGAAGGCTCGGAGAAATGAACTTAGATGTAATCAAAGTTCGTACTTGTCAACAAGAAGATCTTGTGCGACATTATTAAGATACCCTGACAGTACGTAGAATCGTCGTTCTGCTAAATGTCAGAGAATTTTCTATCAATTGGACAAACTCTACCCAAGGAATAGATCAAGTTGACCGGTTCATTGTGCAACACGTACATTTCCTCCCTGGCTCGACAGAACCTTGCTCCAGCCCAAGTCTATGTCCTATAATATAAATTTATGACTACATTTTAATAAATTTAGTGAATATGAAATGTTATGCTAAAATTATGATCGAAAAAATGAGACAAAATAAGGGACCAAAATAAACCTTTTTAAAAGTACAAAAAGTGAAATAGATGTTTTGAAAATCCAATAATCAAAATGAACAAAAGTTGGAAATACAAAAATCAAAATAAATATTTTGAAAGTAAATAGACCAAAATGAACCAAAAGTGAAATAACACGAGAAAAATAGCATTTAATCATGGCTTTGGATGGCTAACTTCATCAAGTTTAATCTTACCTGAGAAATGAATAGCAAAAATCATTCTTGTCATTGCCAAAATCACTTATCTTTTCATTGATCACATTTGGCAAATTAAAAAATTCATTTCAACGGAGTTTAAAAAAACTTTAAATTAATTTTTAGGATATCACTTAAATGATAATTTTGAAAGATCAATTATCCTAAAATATCTTTTATCAAAATCACTCATTCTAATCTCACTCTCAAACACCCTAAATGCCCTAAATGAGGTATTAATTTTCAATTCAAAACAAAATCTAAAGAACCAAATTGAACATCTTTTATTCTTCCTTTTGTTTGATCGAGATAATCGATGGAAAAAGATTCAAATTCTTGATGAACTATTTACACCAATTATGGTACAATATAAGACAACCTATTAGAAGGTTTTGAGTTCTTGAATTTTGCAACCAAAACAAAATTTTAATAAAAACAAAAAAAAAAAGACAAAAAAGCAAAAACAAAAACAAAAAATCTATGTCGCTAGCAAAGTCCCAAGAGGGATCTAATTCATCTCTCACTAGTGTTCTTAGTTTTCAATTTCTGACAGAAAACTGAAGATATTTCTCACCCAAATCTCAATCAAACACCTTGTGTTTCAAGCAATTCTTCAACTTCTTTTCATTTTTATCCATATATGAAACCAAAAATAAAATCATGTAATCCCTTTTTTGTCTCTTACAAAAAAGCTCACTCAAAATTGCCCCCTTTTTTTTTTCTGGGAACCAAAACAAGAAAAACAAAAAAATATACACACCACTCGTATAATGTACAAATATAAAACAAACGAATAAAGAATTAACGCGAAAACACTCTCTCCCGCCCCAAAAAAACCAAGAGGGGGAAAATTCAATGCGGGAAACCAATCAAACAGAAAATATTTCTTCAACTTTCCAATTTGTGGCAAGTAGAAGAGAAGTTTTGCAGTATCATCATTCAGTCAGTTGCTGCAGTAGAAAATGGAAATCTGATCTCTGTCTTATAATCGGTGGCGGGTCGACATCGGACAGATTAACCTCGCCAAAGGACCGGAATATTTCTTCTATTGAAAATGGTATGCTGAAAATGTTTTTTGCCCCAATGGAATCAGTGAGTAATACTTAGACTACTAGTTTATAATCTCAATGGTTCTATTCTAAAGCTTCAACTTTGGATGTAGAATGTAAATTTGTACCTTGAATCCACATCAAGGAGAAAAGAGTTGTTTGGGATGTTGATTGAGTCTTCTGCCAATAGGACTCTCATTCTTCCAATTAGCTGCAAAGACGGATAAAATTTATAATTTTGTGTTTTGATACATAAAGTTTTAGTTTATTGTATAAGGCTGACATTTGTTAAACCACGATGGGGGATGCATAATCACTTACATCAGGTGATAGTCCCTGAGTTCCATATTTGTCGTCCCAGAACATCGTTCCGATGCGATAGATTTGTGGGATGCTCAGTATCTGATACAAAAAGAAACAGCCAAAGAAGTCAGATGCTATCAGAAAAGGGAAAATATTCAGTTCACTAAAATACCAAAATGTTCTTTATAAATGAGATTACGGTTCCAAATGTCTGAAACCAAGATGCTTTTTTCAAGAACGCAGAGGTAGTTACCGGGCACAATTCGTCTGTGATCTCATTCAAACTTTTCTGGGACTTCTGATGTAACACCTACAGAAATGGGACCAGGAGCAAGAGTTTTCAATCCAATTTCAGAGAGATGTTGGGTTTAATTTCTAAAGTTCTAGGTAAGAGAAATTTACCAGAAATCCTACTGCTTGTCTTATGTGTTGAAGTTCATCCCACGAAGAACCAGAGTACTGAAGAAGAAATAGAAAAAATTATACATTTTATTGTCTACTGAGATTTTATTTTGAATCCTCTGAACTGCGGTGTGTTTACTCACTGTATCAGTAGCTTTGTTACACCATTGCTCCAACTCCTGCAGTCCTAACTTTAAGTACTCTCCATTACTGAAGGAACAGCACTCACGTCGCAGTAACAAGCTGAAAACCAAAAAAAGTAAAAACAAAATAAAATATGTCGTAAAATTTGATCCTTTTGAAATGATAATATGTTCAAAGCTGTATTGTTACTCACCTATTGAAGAGCTGGACATTTATGAATGAGAAAACCTGTAAGAAGATTTTTCTCATGATCATGGAGGGAACCTGAAAATTTTCAAAAGTCAATTTCATATGGAGAAAAAGTGAAAAACGTGCTCCTGAACATAAAATTCATACTTACAGATGATAGGAATAGGTTTAACTTACATGGTTTTCAGACATTATATCCAAGGTCTGATCTAGCTTATTAACAATGCTTTGCCAGTGAATACTTGATGCTTGCTGTTTTGCAACAATATTTGAATGGATATTTTTAGATGACCCTCTTATTGATCTGGCCCTCACTGATCTCGGTGCCTGTCAATATTCATTAAAATCTTGTCAAATAAGTTTTTTTTTTAAATAGCTTTTTTTCTATTTTCCTCTGTTGCACAGTTATGGCCTTTACCTGTATGCATAGATGCAAGAAAGGGCTAATTTCTTTCTTCAAATTATCGCGTATCATCCCAAACAACTTTTCAATGCAAGCTGCCAGATGTTGCTTAAAAAGCAGGGCTGGGTATTTGGCTTCAACTTTAGATTGATTGTTTGTCTTTCCCACCATTCCACTGTATCCACTGGAAATTCCCATACCCACCGAAGCTGATCGAAGACCCTGAGAACTTCTACATTTAGTTGAATGGCTCGTATGAAATTTATTTATTAGCCAAAATTTTCAGATAGGAAGCATACATATGCCATACGACCAAATAAGGATGCAGGGGAAGTTCGGTTCCGGTGTGAAGCTGTAGTACTTGTATTAGTTGCCTTGAGTGAACTTTGAAGAAGATAGAGAAGGGTAGAGGTGGTTGAAAGCCAATATGCAAGGTCACTGATATTTTCTTGATTCTGCTAGAGCAAAATTTAAAAGTCAGTTTCATATGATCAATAGGATTTGTCAGTGACGATAAACCAAGTCTCTGACTCAACTCAACCCTTCGAAAATTAAAATGCACAAGAGGATACGTTGATTTAGTGACACAAACCTCTATAGAAGATCTGATTGTGTGAATAATTCTGTCAAATAAATTTGTCTTTTCTGCCTCAAAAGATCGCCATTGAAGCAGTGTCTTGTAGACGATACAAGCTGCAACTGGTCTGCCTTTGTCAAAACGTTTGTCTTCTGCCAGACACTTGAGCAGGACATCATGATTTTCCTATTGATGCAATAATTTAGTTATGATTTGATGAGCAATTGGAATTTGAAACCCCTTTTTTTCTGTGCTTTTGGGCTATCAAATTTCCATGAATGACCATAACTAGGAACTACAGCAATATACCTGTTGCTTTTCTGTGAGCGAGCCTTGTTTAGCTAGAACAGGAACAATAGATGGTTCCTGATAATAAAGGAAAAAAATACTCCTCGTGTCAAAGACAAAAGAATAAACGGCAACTGTTAATTTCTAATTGAATTTTGAAGTTAACTAAGAAATTCATTCTTACCTTGGTTGGTTTAATCTCTTCTTCCACTAGGTGCCCATTATCTAACGTCTGCATACATTAGAAGCTTGTAAGAACTTGAAGCAATATTCTCACAGTAAATTATGCAATCTAGAGATTTGTACCGTGCTTTCTGCAGGCCTCACTGCAGGAGTAGCCATATGCTCAACAGCAACTGGCCGGTTCCGGAGAACTTCATTCTCTGCCTCTAAACTTCCAATTTTACTCTTGAGGCTGAAACAGAAATATGTCGTTATATCATGCAGCATGTTTGTAAGAATTAATGATACAACAGATCATAATTTGTTCAGAGTATGAGACAATGTGCATTTAACCCTTGAATAATCTTGCATTTCTTTATCTTTTGCACTCTAGATGTGAAATTGTCCTTCATATATCTGAATGAAACCACCTACTGAATTATTGGAGGACCAAGTTTCCATAAATTGACATTCCATTCCAATTATCCAAGTTTTTTAGTCACGCAAAAATGTAGAAACAACTATGCGTACACATGAAGCAGGATTTCAAGAAAAAGGTTCAGTTGTATTGTAAGCACATACGTTTGCAGTTCTTCAGAGAGGGATTCATTGTCTGCTGCAACCAAAGCCTGCTGGCGTAGAACTTGGTTCTCAGACTCGAGGCTAGACAAATTTAATTCCAATCTAAAAATAGTAAAGAAGATAACTCATCAGATCATAAGTGGCAGTGGTAAGATGATGTAAGCATTTAATTTAGTAAATAATTACCTCTCAATAGTCTCTTGAAGTTGCATTGCTTTCAATTGAGCTTCTTCTGCCTCCTTGAGTCTTGCTTTACTCTCATTTTCCACTTCAGCAAACTTTTCTTCAAATTCCTCAATTTTCTTCTTCAGCTCTCCAACCTCAACCTGAAAATTCAGTTTTAATCATATGCAACAAAAAAAATGGTACTTTCAGGAGGCTGGCTGTGTTCTGCCTTCCCATGTTACCTCAAGTTCTTCATTGTGATTGCTCAGTAATTTTAGCTTGGTCTCATCAACCACAGGTACTTCCTTAATGACTGGTGGAGCTTGTTCTATGGCCAACTTTGCCGCTTCTCTCTCGCGTATGATTGCAGCATTGGCTTCATCAAGCTGCCCTTGCATTTCTTCCAAAGCACTTTGTAACTTTGCAACCTCTTGCCCCTTGGCTTCTTCAACATCCATCTAGAAAGTCATTGGCCATAACATACGTCTATTCAGCGTGAATATTTGGGAACTAATTAAAAAGACATTAACCATGTGCTTCTTAAATTCCAGACATTGGCCGTAACAAGTATAAGAGATGCATACCCTCAAGTGCTTCTCAAATTCTAGGCGCCATGTTAGCTCCTCGACGCGCTTCTCCAATTTGTCCTTAGCCTCCTTCAGTGCCCCTGTTTCTCTTGCAGCCTAGATATTTAAAAATAAATAAATAAATAAAACATCCTTAGTTTTCTAAGCTTCTTTGTGTATTTAAATGTTCATAAAAATTTTAAAAACTCGCCATCTTTAATTTTTTAAGCTCCTTTCTTGCAATTCTAGCACGCCAGAGGCATTGAAGAGAAAGAGTTGCCTTCTGCTGCTGTTTGTAAGCTGAAATAGCTGATGCCCTTCGCCATTCAGTCTGTCAAATTCAAATAATGAAATTACCAATTCTGTTTTTCCCCCAAATAATTCCTCGTTTCAGTTGTCAACATGATGTCTTTCATCTTTCACTTTCAGTTAACAATAATTGTCAGAGAATCTAGTACCTGAACAATGATAGCTGCCTTTGTTCTTCTTCTGTGTCTATATTCGTTTCTTGCTGCCATTGCTCGCATACCAGTTTGAATAACTATTGCAGATGCAAGTAACTTTTTGTAAGATTTACTAGCTGCGTGACCACGTGCATGCTTCTGTATACGGATTGAAGCTGCTTCTCTCCTCATCTGCTCATACAGCTGACGAGCAAGTTGTGCTGTAGGTGTAATTAAAATCAATCAGCATCAGTTATATTATAAAACTATCTATATAAATCAGTTTTGTGACTTTACATCATAGCTTTCTAGAAAAATATACACCCCACAGATATAAACCAATAAATGATAAGTAAATAAAATAATAGAACTTAGTTGTAATCAACTGATATGGTTCTGAGAAATAATTTTGTTACTCCACATGCTATGGAATTATGATTACTGGAAGAAAAGGGCACCTCTCCAAAGTTTCTGCAGATGAATTGTAGCTCTCCTCAAGGAGATAAACTCTTTTCTAGTTAGATGGGTACGGATTTGCCGTTGGATGCGTCTGACAGCATTGGCCAATATTTCAGTTCGTCGAGCATCCAACTCAGCCATTTGTCCAGCTCTAAGAAACACTTTCGTTTTTCCAATCTGAAGCACACCAAATGAAATGAGATTTCCTATACTGAACTTAGGGGTTGGGGAATGTACTTGACAATGCCCTTTATTGACACTAACGTCAGTATTTTCAAATCATTACCCACCTGATAACCCTTTAAGCCCATTCTGTCGCATATTGCAATGCAGGGTGATTTTTCATCAGATCTGCAAAGGTTGACACGATGCATTAAACTTAGGCTAGAGCAGTCCCAAATAATCTACATAGACCGTCCACTTGAATGCATGTATTTCTTTAGTTAAAAATCTAAACAAACGTGTAGAAACTCTGTTTTTCTGTACCCATCCAAAATATCTGGAGCAAGCATTCCAAAACGATCAAGGAACTCATCAAATGTTCTTTTTGTTGGATATCCTGCACAGCTTATTCTAATCGCCTCGAGCACTCCCTGCCAAAAATTCATCAAAAGTAACATTATTGAGAAGAGCAAGAAGGAATAGGAGCAAAAATATTACAAAACTTTTGGATTTAGGTATTTGGAAGAGCAAGAGGAAGAGTTTTAACTTACCCCACACCTCAATTGGTTCAACACATTGAAGTTCTCAAAGATTCCAGGTTTCAAGACTGTGTTGGGTTTTACACATCTAATATAATGTGGTTCTGTGGTATTCAATGTTTCCATGAGAGCTTGTAGTTGTTGCTGTGAGTAAAAGCAAGGCATTGTCTTGAAAGTAAGAGAACTAGAATTTATTGAAAGATAAAAAGGTAGAATAATTACAATAATTCTCAAGTAATTCGAGGTACTTGGATCATCCGATGCCCTCTTGAGTATTCTTACTAAAGCCTAAAAACCACACTAAACAATTATCTATCTCCATCATTTCCCACTCACTCTATTTATAACGAATTTTCATAACAACCTCCCTATCTAATTACTAATATATCCTTAAAACCATATCATATTCCTACCTCTATCCAAATAGCATTCCTATCACTATGTCATAATTGGAGTAGATTTTACCTTGAACCGAGTACCAATAGAGGAAAACTTGGATTGCTTTGAGCTCTCCTCAGGAAGTGGAGGGAAAAGATTGGCAACAAAAGAGCATTGTGAGGCATTCAGAAGAGCCTGATGTTCTGCTACAACATAGTCCTTGTTTTTATCTAGAAATTGATCTGCTTGGTATGTAACCTGATGATTCAAGGCTTAGAAGTAAGAAATTGACCACTTATCTTTTAAGCTCAACAAAAAGAGTACTCATGATATGTAGCCTACATCTCCAGCATAATGGTTTATTGTGAAATCTGTTCGAGCAAGTTTTGGCTTGCTGAACCGCTTATGCGCTTTGTATGTCTGATACATCTTTTGAGCAAATGTTTCATGCGTGGACTTCGGGAACATACTGCATGATTAGGAGAACAACTAAACAAGTGCCCTTCATAGATTCTAAAGTAAAAGCGAAATTAACTGTAGTATTATCTGAATTTTTTTTTTTTTTAAGAATATTACTCCATGAATACTGGGTGGGGATTTGAATCTCCGTCGTTTTATGGGGAGTAGAAATGCATTGACCACTAAGATATATCCAGGTTGGCTTTTCTATTGTCTTTGTTAGTAATTGTTATGCTGCACTATAATTGATCATTGTGTTTTCTTATCTGTTAACTTCAATAGCTCTCGAGTTGAAATTAAAATACAGGGTTATTCATAAAGATTCAATGATATATCCCTTATAGTTGGATCTGTCTAAGTTTGGATGTAAATTAGTCATGACATTACAAGTAAGAACACATACCAGGCTTCATCAAGCAGGGCAATTATACCTCCAGGTTTCTGTGAGAAACAACATGCACTCATTACTCAAGCTCCATTAGGTGGGAGTAAGCACAACATGTTTCATATCAGTAGGCCAGTAAAATTCAGTACCTTCTCGATAAGATCAAGGACGTCCTGATTATCTACAAACTCAACATAGCTCCAGTTTATTTCTTCCTTCGTGTACTCCTCTTGCTCCATTTTAAAAACATGCTGCAAGGAGATGGCTAAATTATATTTGTGTAACTAAAAAGGAAAAGGTTGAAACCACGCCTGGAGGCTTCAGCCGTACCTGATTAAAATGCTGCTGCAGCTTCTCATTGGTCAGGTTGATACAGAGCTGCTCAAAACTGAGAGCCAGGGAATGCATTAAATATCGTAATCTGGATATTGAAATCTTTGTGAGGGGATAATCTTTCTTAATTTCATCTACCTGTTGATCTTGAAGCTTTCAAATCCATAAATATCGAGGACACCAATTAAGCTCGCTGCATTAGGATCTTGGCCAATTGAACTATTAATTTTGTCCACAATCCTGCCATAGTTCAGATATCCATTATCTCAATTGTTCTTTAGTAGAAAGCTTTAAAAGAATGGAACAGCATTCTGGTCTCTAATATTTTTCAACTCATAATATATTCCAGAGGTGAACACCAGGCAGACCTCTTTGGCAGGGAAACTTTCTTATAAAAAACTAATGATGCGAACTAGTAAGGAAAAAGTTCAGTTTACATACCAATCAAACAGCCTAGAATATACAGTTTTTGCCAATGCATCACGACTCAAGACTGCTGAATCTGGGTCCAGGGGCTTAGTAATGTTTCCATCAGGTGTCACTATGACACGCTGGCAGAGGGAATCTTCCAGTGCCTTTACATCACACCTGAGAAGAATATTGACAGAATGTAAAAAGAGGTGCCCTCAGAACCTGAAAGTTTAATCAATGTGATCTAAAGATAAGAGTCCTAACATGAGTAGCTCTGCTGCTGTTTGAAGATGATAATTTGATTTCTCATCTTTCACTTTGGAGGAGTCAACTTCCTTCCCTTTCATGAAGTCAATGTTTCCAAGATGCAGTATTGCAGCTACAACACGAAATATAGCATCCTACAGAAACAAACTTTTAATCAGCTAGAATCTACGTTAAGGAAATTACCAACCTTTTAAAAATTATACTATTGTTAGACTAGAACTGAACAAAAAATTTAAGTTGATGGGTAATGAAAAATTTAATTATCAATTCACTAACATTCTCCTTACTTCTAGGCTTGCAAATTAGCACAAGGCTAAACAACTTTGTTTTTTAGCTTATGTTTTATTAAACTACCGTTGAATCAAAAAGCTTAAGGTAATGAGTTACGGCTTCTTAACAACGCAAATACAGACCTGTTCATCCTGGCTGATTCCTACAACATCCATGGCATTTCTTGTCTCCAAGTACTCTCTTGAATCATCAACATTCGCAACTTCATAACAATTTGTTTGGTTAAGGTAATGGAATGACCTTGGGTCTCCTAACTTGTATTTCTTGACATCCTGCATTGAAACATTAGTCAGACAGCTGTTGTAAAGATTAAAATGCCTAAAAGGATGACTAAAAGAGGAATGGAGAGAGCTTACTTCTGGTGGTGCAGCGCAGAGCATATAAAAACAATGGTAGTTCCTCTCAGGATCTGAGACTTGGCAAACTCTTGACCGTTCAAGAAGGTATGTTCGAATGGCAGCTCCGGAGATCTTCCAGTTCTTATCAAATTGGATTTCTACAAATTTACCAAAACGACTGGTAGAATTGCCTTGTTATATTAGAATGACAAGTAAAGACAAAGTACGAAACGACTGAAATAAAATGGAGCATGAAAATAAATCACCTTGAGTTGTTGTTTTTGACAGTTTTGGCATTTCCAAATGCTTCTAGTACAGGGTTGGACTGAAGAATTGGTTTACAAAAAACATTACCCACCATTCAAGCCATATTAGATTTTTTCTCTTTTTTTTTTCTTTTTGGAACACGAAATGAAAATTTTCAAAAAGGGAAGCCATATTAGATATTACTCACCTCCAAAACCTGTTGCTCGACTGTTCTTCCTTCAGTATTTGATCTGCCTCCCATAAATGCAAGGTATCTCATAAGCATCTTTGTTGTCTCAGTTTTACCAGCACCACTCTCTCCACTCACTAAAATGGATTGACTTCCTTGCTCATTGATCATTGATCTAAACTCATGGAAAGAAAATTCAACTCTAAGTTCAGTATAGAAGCAGAACTAGTGAAAAATGTGACTTAAATTCACTTTGGTCCCTCTAACTTCTAAAATTTATATTTTAAGTCTCTGAAGTTCTAAAATGTTTTTTTAGTCTTTTTGGTCATTATTATTTTGTCACCTAAAATTTACCCTCTTAATACTCACAACTTATGTGACTACAATGCATAACCACATCAACATGTTAAAATTATTCCTTTGTTAAAAGCAAGGTGACGATATGGACCAAAATGATTGTTTTCTTTTTTTCAACGTTTAGAACTAAAATAGACAATTTGAAGAATTAATACAGATATTTTGAAAGTTTAGAGACCCATATTAAATTTCTTCCCAAAACAAGATATAAACCGAAAAATATGAGTTTCTTCACTCTTGTACCTGTAGCAAGCATCTGCAACAGCGAAAAGATGTGGACTAAGCTCGCCGAAAGCAGCTCCTTTGTACTGTTCCATCATGTGAATATCATACAAATGAGGCAGTCTCCGGAAAGGATTTACCGCTATTAGAATGTTCCCGGTGTAAGTCTGTAACGAAATCGAAATTAAAATTTCGAAATTATTTTGTTGCTAAGATCCTGATACTGTAATCTATACATTAATCAAAAACTGAGAAATTAGGCAAAAGAGAATTCAATCAACCACTTACATATATCTCATTGAGAGAAAACCGACAAGCTAGATTGTGCAGAACTCCCGGTTCATGGAGGTACGCCAATTTCGTCATGTCGTCAACCCCAGCCGGCGGCGCCTCCGTGTCTTTCGGATATATGCTCGAAATTTCTGCAACAATCTGAAACCACAGTCGGTAATCACGTTTAGTTCGATCATTCTAAGCATTGGTTTGAAATTTGTTTCGTTCGGAAAAAAAAAACCCTCGGAGATTAATTTTCCCCGAAGAAACACAAGAAACAGTAGCAGAATGGAAACGAATGCTTCGAAAGCCAGCCATGAATTTCCATCTTAGCGAAGATGAAAGAAATCGCATTCCAAATTTCTCGGAAAAAAAAAGCTCGCGGGAGACTCCAAGTTTGAAATTTAATTCCCATTTGTCAAACTGGAAAACGCCAGAGCTCTGTTTCTTCAGGAGTAGCAGTAGTGGGCCGAAATTACCAAACTACCCCTCTCTGCCTCTGGTATTGATTTGCTTTAATAACATGGCGGATTTAGTTCAATCTGCCTTTTCCCGGAAAATCTTATGCATTTTCCCGGAAAACTAAACTTGCAGTATTAATCAACAAAGCCAATATTTCATCTAAACTGATAAATCAACTCAACTCCCCTTTCTTCTCTTCCTTATTCTTGATTCTCTTTTCCACTAACAAGCAAAAACTTCCCCAATTCAAATCCGACCATTAATTTTATTACCCAAAAACGAAGTTTATATTATGTTTTAGTAGTTCCCATGTTATTGGAAGGTAAGAGATAGATAAAAAATGAAAAAGCTTACAGTTTTTTCATTGGTGGTGATTATGGTGGCATTTTTGCCATTAATTTCTGTAACTTGACCATCAACCCAAGCATCCTCAGGATCCCCAACCCAAACATGTGATCCGACAATGATATTCACCGGAGTCCCCTGTTCCACACCAACAAAAAAAAGAACATTAAGAAAAACAAAAATCTAATTTGATTGTTTGTGCCAAAGTTCCAACACTTTCTTGCAAATGAAAAGAAGCTAAAACAGATACCAATGAAGAATCTGCAATTAGATTACCATGGTTGATTCAGATATATGTCTCTATTTGATCATCAAATTTGGGAACAGAAACAATGGAGTGTTTTTGACAGAAACAGAGGAATCTGAGTTGAATGAATGGGAATGGTGTGTGTAGTAAAGGGAGATCCAAAAATGATGGTGTGTTTAAAGGATTGAAGAACTTGAAAAGAATAGAAGAAAAGGGAATTTAAAAGCACAGCCAAAATGCTCAAAAAGCAAAAGGGAATGAGCGAAGAAGGAAGGAAGGAGTAGCCAGCCACCTTGTCCTTCCCTATTTCCATGTCAACTTTTCTTCATTTTTTTTACTTTTTTTTTAACAAAGGGGACCTTTCCACGTAGGATGCTGACCTGGCATTGATACAAACTGCCGGAAGCCATTTGACACGTGGAATTATGGTTGCTTAAGCTGTACGAAGTTTACCTAGCTGATCTTGTTAGTCCACTTGCTTTGTCATTTCTCCCTGTGCTGAAATTTCAGCTCCTCCCACGCACATTGATAGATATGCATGAATAATAATTGAATTTAATTTATAAATTTTATAAATTCAGCGAGCTTCTGTACACCTTCATTAATCTAGATAATCATCTGACTCTACATTWTTTAATTAGAACATCACATCATTTGTATTTAATAACTTCAACAATGATCGGGTCAATTCATGTCGGGATTGTAGTATTGGTAAATATAAAGTTTATTAAAAGGAGGTGAAAGTGTAAAAGAAGACAAAGATTTTGAATGCCTTGAAATTATAAGAGAGGGTGAGGGACCAAATTCTCCATTCCAACACAAAACATTGAATCTCACAACCTATGATTGTCAAAAAATAAATAAATAAATAAATGGGGGAAGGAGAAGGAGAAGGAATCAGATGGAGCCACGTGTACAAGTGTGGGTCCCACAAGGAAGCAATCTCGCTTTAGATGGAGCTTCCCCGTCCACAGTCCACCGCCACCCACCCACCAAACTGGTGATGGCGTGGGCGGTGGCCCGGTGGCCCGCCGTGGTGGGGTACGATGTCGTTTCGTTGGGTTTCTTTGAAGTTGAACTTTGAATGG